CAGGCAATCTGCTCTTGCATAGCGGGTAGGCTGTACAGGAGAGCAGCATTAAACAAGAAAACACGGATGAACGCATGATTACCAGTTGCGGCAAGTGCTGGGAAGGAAGCGAGCGGGAGGCCAGGAGTGAGGGCAACAGAGGGAGGAAGTATTTGGTGGGTGGAAGGGGGAGTCAGGAAGGTTCTGAGGAGACCAAAGGCATAAAGAGAAGGGAGAGAAAATGCAGGTATAGACGACTCCACATGCAGTGGCTCCGAGATGGGGAAACACAAGTGCCGTGTGGCTGGAGAGGGAAGAGCAGCGAGGCGCAGGGGCTGGGCCATGTGGGGCCACCTGAGTCAGAGGAAAGCCTGTGGGCTGCGTTCAAAGAGCACCAGGAATCCAGCGAAGGGCTTTAGGCAAAGGAAGAGAGACAGGATCTGAGTTTATTTTTTTTTATTTATTTATTTTGAGATGGAGTCTCACTCTATCCCCCAGGCTGGAGTTCAGTGGCACGATCTCAGCTCACTGCAATCTCCACCTCCTGGGTTCAAGCAATTCTCTGCCTCAGCCTCCCAAGGAGCTGGGATTACAAGCGCCCACCACCACGCCTAGCTAATTTTTATATTTTTAGTAGAGATGGGGTTTCACCATCTTAGCCAGGCTGGTCTTGAACTCCTGACCCTGTGATCCACCTGCCTGAGCCTCCCAAAGTGCTGGGATTACAGGCATGAGCCACCGCACCCAGCCTGAGTTTATCGTTTATAAAAATAACTTCTGTGTTGTTCAAGGCAGAACCAGAACTGAATCTCCACACATCTCCCCAGACCCCCACATCATGCCATCATGCTGTTGTATCGGACCGAGCATAGAAAGGCAACACCAAGACAAAAGTATGCCAAATTGCAGGGTTTATTGCTAGCAACCACAGAGGACTCACGTCTCTCCAACCCGTGGCCCCGTAAAAGAGGGTGACAACACCTTTCATACCCGTAAAAATCACCTTGGGGGTGAGGGGAGAGGATGGGGTGAGGGGCTTCAGATATTCCGAGGGTCAGTGGATTCAAATCACCTTCTGGGTGGAGATGAGGGTGAGGGGGTTCCGGACATTTTGAGGGCCAAGGGACTATTTGACATTCTGATTGTCATTTAAGGGGTTCACAGATGCTAAGATTAGCATTCATTTACGCATCGTCTGGGTAGGGGTGGGATCCACAGATTTTTATTTACTTGGCGCCAGGATGGAATTATCTGGGGGTGCTTACTCTGGTAAACAAAGGCCGGCAATTCTGGCAGTTACAGATAAGAGAAGGTATGCAGCTCTACCTCACTTTCCATCCTGCAGAGTAAACTAGCAGTTTAAGGAAGCCAAGGTTAGCAGTCATTGTGAGGAGAATGGAAGCAGTCTTGTCCATTTATAAAATGGCATTGTACAGGTTCTAACTCTAGGCCAGCTATGTCACAATGCTATGTCATTCGTCCAGCCCATCCCCACCCAAGCCTCTACCACCAGCCCCAGCACCCTGGATCCTCCCATCTTTCCCTGGGATGGAGATGTGCTGTGTGACCTGGAGCCAATCTCCTGCCCTCCTGGCCTCAGTCTTCCTCTCTTCTCCCCTCAATCTGTAGCGTTCCCTGTGGAAGGCCCTGAGCCCGAGTCTTGGGACAGGCATCAAGAGGCCTAGGGCTTCTGCCCCTCAACCCAGAGAGGCCTGGGGCAGCCCACGACACCCCATGACTCAGCCTCCCCATCTGTGAAATGGAAATCAGCTTGCTGTACACTGTGGATGATGTAATCCAAAAATAAACCACGTTTGTAATCCCAGCACTTTGGGAGGCTGAAGGAAGGGTTCACTTGAGCCCAGGAGTTAGAGACTAGCCTGGCCAACATGGCGAAACCTCATCCCTACAGAAAATACAAAAAGTTAGCTGGGCATGCTGACACACAGCTGTAGTTCCAGCTACTCAAGAGGCTGAGGCAGGAGGACCACCTGAGCCTGGGAGGTCAAGGCTGCAGTTAGCCGTGATTACACCACTGCACTCCAGCCTGGGTGACAGAACGAGACCCTGTCTCAAAATAAAAACAAAGTAAAATAAAATTCTAAGCCCCCCAACCTACTAAATGGATCCTCCTCTCAGCCAAGAGGATTTGGAAGAAACCTAAACCCTAATGCCAGGATGGGAAGGGAGGGTCAGACACGCCTCACTATTCCCACCTCCCTTTGGAATTCAACGCAGCTGGCCAGCATTAACATTAAAACGGAGATCTTAAGACTTGCAACACAGACTTTGTAGCAATAAAATACCGAATTCCAAACTGACTCTAGTATAGCATCACATGACAGATAACAGGCACTGAAAGAAATCAAAATATTTTACCCCAAAATATATTTCTTTGACATATTTTTAAATGGCCCTGCAAAGTTGTCTCTTGTGAGGAAAATTTACATTCTGTAGAGAATTCCTTTCCTTTCCAGGTCGTTTTTTTCTGATCCTGAAGAGATTAGCTTCCAGTCTAGCTCCTTTTAGAGGTCTGAATAGAAAACATTCGCCTTGTACTGCTTCTGCGAGTGGCCACCTAAGAGACTTCATCTACATAATAAGAACCTTGGTCTCTAAACTCCTTATCTTAAGCCAGACACTCTTTTCTATTGAATCCAGGTCTTTAGATAATAACTTAACTCATTCAACCAGTTGCCCAATTGCCAGTCGGAAATTCTCCGAATCCACCTATGACCTCCCCACCTTTGAGTTGTCCCACGTTTCCAGGCTGAACCAATGTATTGGTTGTATTGATGTCATATGTATTGATGTCTTAAGTCTCCCTAAAACATGTAAAACCAAGCTGTAACCCAACCACTTGGGCACTTGTTCTCAAGACCTTTGGAGGCTGTGCTTCAGGCCGTGGTCATTCAAATTTGGCTCAGAATAAACCTCTTAAAAAATATTTTGCAGAGTTTGACTCTTTTCATTGACAGCGCTTACTGGTAGCATAGGGCTCCTGACCCAAGCTGTGTTCCCGGAGCCCCCTAAGGGGAAATCTAGCTCCTTTAGTGATCCCACACCCAGGGGCAGTCAGGGGGAGTGAGGGTGGGCCAATGTGTATCCTGGGTGTCCAACTCACTGTGCCCACCCTCTGTCCCCAACCAAGTGGAGGTGCAGGCAAAGGGCTGACCGCTGAGGGCAGAGAGGCCGGCAGGGAGGGGAAGTGGAAGGTCGGCTGCATGGATGATGGCACCCTGGGTGAGCAGTTACCCTCCGGTCGGAGTGTGTGGGTCAGGGGGTATTGTGTGTGTGTGCGTGCGCACATGTGTGTATGTGTGTGAATGTATGTCTGCATGTGTGTCAATGTGTTTGAATACGTGTGTATGCATGTCTGCATTTGAGAGTGCATATGAGCATCGATGTGTGCTTTTCTGTGTATGAGTGCATATGAGTGTATATCTACATGTGTGTCTGTTTATGTGTTTATTTCTGTGTATACGTGTGTGTATGACTGTGTGTGAAAGCTCTGTGGCCCCCAGGCCCTTTTCCCACCTCCTCCTCACTTCTGCAGTAGGCTTGGGGAAGGTTCCACAGGGGCCTTGGGTCCTGGTCCTTAATGTCTCAGCCTGACCAGCATTTGGGACCAGGAAGGTCTTTCTGACCTGTCCAGTCCTTGGCCAGTCCCTCCCCAGCCTGGGAAGCACGCAGGTCCTGCCCTGCTGCCTAGGCATTGCTTCAGCCCGGCCTTGGTGGGTGGACCTGGGACACGACTGTGCTGTTCTCTCTTTGCACGCTGCCAGGAGAGACCACTATGCCTACTCCTACTACCCGTAAGTAGCTCCACCTGGCCTGGGAGTCCCCTGCCCCGCCTAGGGGAGACCTCCCGTCCCCACCCTCTTTAGCTGGGCTTGGGCTCACTGCACCTGGCCTGGCCTGGTGTCCGCCCCGTTCTCCAAGGCCACTGAAGCTTCTGACTTTCCCTCCCCTGCTCTGTCCCTCCCCTCTGCATCTTCCTCTTCGAGTCGTGGTCACCAGTGCTGGAGCTGACTCTGCGGAGTCACCTGAGCAAGTCACCTCTCCTCCCTTAGTCTCAATGTCCTATCCACCACCAGGGAAGGTCCTTATGTCCTTGAACCATTCCTTGTGGTCAGAAGGATGTCCTACAGAGCACAGTGGCTCATGCCTGTAATCCCAGCACTTTGGGAGGCCAAGGTGGGTGAATTGCTTGAGCCTAGGAGTTTGAGACCAGCCTGTGTAACATGGCAAAAGCTTGTATATACAAAAAACAGAAAAATTAGCCAGGCATGATGGCACATGCCTATAGTCCCAGCTACTCAGGAGGCTGAGGTGGGAGGATCACTTGAACCCAGGAGGTTGAGGCTGCAGTGAGCTGTGTTCTGGCCACTGCACTCCATCCTGGGCAACAGAGCAAGACTCTGTCTCAAAAAACACAAAAGATGAAGGATGTCCTGACCTCCTACTACCTCCACATCCAGGAGCATCCTTACACAGGTCCCACTCTGGAGTCCATGCCTGTGTGCTTGCATGCACCAGGGTGGGGCCAACCCGTCCCAATATTGGCAGCTCTGTTCACAGCACAGAAGACTCTCAGATCCCCATGAATTCCTTCCCTAGCCGGGCAGCCCCAGCTCTGCAGACCCACCCCTTGCTGGGCACCTCCTCCGGGCCAAGCCCTGGGCTCAGTTCTGGACACACAATCCCCAAGACAGCCCTGACAATAGGAGCTCTTATTGCTCCCACTTTACTGATGAGGAAACTGAGGCCCAGAGAGGCCAAGGGACTTGTGGTAAGTCGCAGAATGTGCCAGAGCTGGGACATAACCCAGGTCCCTGCTGACTCCGCAGCCTGCAGATGCTACTGTCTTCTGTCTCTGTCTTCTCCTCTGCAAAGCTTCCAGAACACTCCTCCCACACCTATGCTGGTTTTCCCTCCCTCACAGAGCAGACCCAGATGGCGCAGGGCCAGCCCTGAGGACGACAGGTCTCTCACCTCCTCCTCCCTGGGCCGCTCCTTACCTTGCTGATTCCCACATGAGGTTTTCCAGCAACTCAACACCCAACGACTGGAGCCGAACCCCCAGCTCAGCTCCTGCAGGGGCTGCGGACAGGCAGCTCTCCCTCCCCACTGCTTGCGCAGTTAGTTTTCAAAGCCAGATGCAGACTTTTCAAAGCGTCTGTATTAAATTCCATCTGTTTAATCTCTCACTGAGCTCAGCTGGTTGCCAGCAGCGTTAGTGTCCCTCCCGGGTTCCAGCATCTGTGGATCGGGTTGGTTTCTTTCTCCAGGGCTGGGAACAGAGCTGTGGCACCACCGGAGACCGCCCTCTAGGCCAGCATCTGCTCACTGACAGGGCCTCTCTGGGCTCCATGCGCAGCCACCCTGGCCGGCTGTCCTCTGCCCGTGGCCCTGTCTGTCTTCCCTGTCCCTTCCTCTCTCTCTGTCCCCTTCCCCATCTCTCCATCTCCTTGTTACTGTCCCTTTCTCTCTTCTCCCCGCTCCTTCTCTGTCTCTCCCTAGCCCCTTCCCCACTCAAAGTAGTCAAGGTCACAGCCACAGAGGCTGCTCCTCACCTGCCCCCAAAGGGGGCTTTGGCTCCAACCTGGGCCACAGTGAGGGCGATGCCCAAAGCCTGGCAGGGGCTGGGGGTAGGAGGCCTAGGCCTGCTGAGCCGTCTCCCATCCAGGCTGGGAAGGCTGTGCCCTCCTCAGTGCCTGACAGCAGTGGTCCCAGTGGGGACACACAGCCGTCTTCTTAGCATGGGAAGGACATCTTGGTCCTGGCAGGAGGGGCATCCAGAGGTCATCCTGTCCTTCCTTTGCCCCAGGACAGGCTGGCTGGGGTTTTCCTGGGAAGATCCTTTCATTGGCCTCCCTGTTCCCATGGATGGTTGGTGTCCCTGAGCCCTCATAACCTGGAAGTCCTTTCTCAGGTCTACTCTGCATCCTGCATGCTGTAGGGCCAAGCAGGTGAACAGCTCTCTCCTCTGGCCCCTCAGGCTCACCTCCAGCCTTGATAAGAGTCCCAAGTTGTTTCCCCTGTGCCTGTTTCTTGAACCCTTCATCATGGAGTTGTCCCCTGCCTCTCCACTTCCTTCTCTCCCTCCCACTTTCCCCAAGCTTTTCCAGGATCACAAACTGCTGTCCTCATGCATGAAACTGGACCTGGAGGCCCGGGCCGTGCAGAGCTCTTGCCCAGAAGCTGCTCCAGAAGCTCTGCCCCTCCAGTGGAGGGACCAGGGCCTCTCACCTTCTCCCCCTGCTGCTTGGGCTGATGGGGGGAGGGGGGCTGGACGGGCTGATGGGGGTGGTGGGAAGATGGACCCTGGGTGGGTTTCTGTTCCATATCCTTTGTGACTGGTAACAGGCCGAGGCCTGGTGGTTTCTGGGAGAAATGGGCACAGGACTGAGAGGCGCAGGTTGGAGCTCAGCAGCTGCCGACAAGAAACCTCATCAATCAGGCTATTGCCAGACCTCAGTCGTGAGGAAGGAGGGAGGATAGCTTCATGCAGCCCATTCCCACTGCTGGAGAAAATCAATTTGACTGTAGGTCTTGGGAGTGGATGAGGGGAAAGGGGATGGAGGTGGAGACACACTGTGCTGGAGCCAGGCCAGCCACCTTCCTAATTCAGGATGCAGTAGGGCAGGGGAACTGTCTGCTGTGACACCAAAGTAGGCCTGGAGTGGCTTTCCCTTCCATTTCTGAGCCCATGGGGCCAGCGAGACTTAGAAGCAGGATCCCAGCCTGAGGTCACTGCAGCTCTATGCCTTTCCCTCAGCAAAGGTCCCCAGGACAGGGACCCTGCCAGCTTCATTTGCGGGAGGCAGCAGATCTCTGGGTTTGATGAGTGAAGGATGGAGGCAGAGCCCTTCAGCATCCACAGATGCTTCAAGGACAGCTGCTGGTTCCAGGCCTCAAGACTCTTGACTTTAGGGCCTCCCCACCCACTTCTGAGTGCTGTCCAGCCCCACACAATGCTTGTGTCTCCCGTCAACCCCCCAATCCCACCCCGCAGGAAACTGGTGAACGAGACCAAGACCACTGTCAATTACCATCAGGAGAGGACCCACATGATGAGTGCCATGGACCAGAGCTTTGCAGACCAGAGCTCCCTGCAGGAGGTGGAGTGGCTGGGCCTGTCCTTCATGGACATCCATAGCTACAGCTCCCGGGGTGAGTACCCAGCCTGGGATGAGGTCCCTTCCTCATTGCTCTGGGGCTCCTGACCCAAGCAAAAAGGATCAAGCCCCTCTGGAGTACTCCTCACATTGGATGAGTTCTGCAACACCATGAATCAAAATCGAAGCATCTGTCGTGTCCCTTCTGGGTACCAACACTGGACTAGAAACACAGAGAAAGCATATGGGGTATCTTGTACTGGAGAAGCTTTTAGAGTATGGAGGACTTAGACAGAGACTCGTGCTAAAGCCCTCTGCTGGACACTGCTCTGGTCCCACCTAGCAAATATTAAAAGCAAGCCAGCACAATCAAACTGTTTCCAAGTAACTTAACTATATGCCAGACAAAGCTCAAGAATATTTATAGGAATACAAAATTATGTGGCCTCCAACAAAAATTTGCAATGTCTGACATCCAATCAAAAATTACCAGACATGCAAAGAAGCATAAAAATATGACTAATAATGAGGAGAAAAATAATTCAATTGAAACTGATTCAGCAGGCAGACCATGGTCAAAGCAGGGGTAACTGGGAAATTCCAGCTGTGTTCAAGAGACTGGAAGCGAGTCTCAGCATTTTCTATCTCCTTTCACCACTTACCACCCACTGGTACAGGATCCACCTTGCTATGGTTGGAATGCCACCTCCAAAACTATGTTGACATTTAATCCCTATTATAACAGTGTTAAGATGTAGCCTGTGAGAGATGATTAGGATAAGATAAGCTTAGCATGGTGGGATCCCTATGATGGGACTGGTGGTTTTATAAGAAGAGGAAAAGAAGTCTGAACAGGCATGCCCTAGCCCCCTCGCCATGTGATGCCCTGCACCACTTCAAGACTCCGCAGAGAAGACAAACAAGGAGATTCTCACCAGATGTAGCTCCTTGCCTTGGACTTCCCAGCCTCCAGAACTGTGAGAAATAAATTTATTTTCTTTATAAAACACCAAGTTTATAGTGCAACAGAAAACTACCTAAGACTCACCTCTATCCTTTCTCCTTCCAAGTGTAGAGACCCATCTCCTGTGGCCTAAGTCTGAAATTCATGTTATTTTGACCGTTCTTCAATATGAACGTTTTTTAAAATGGACTTATCAAACATACCTCACACCCAATACCATTTTCCAACAAAAGGAACCAGAGGTCTTTGAAGAAATTTGGCTGATTCTAAGACTAGGTTAGTAAATGTACCAAATGAGCCTGGAGGATCTTGTAGTGCCAGAAAGTAGAAAGTGCTCAACACATTCACACACAATAATAAAAAGTGTCAAAGGAATACAGGTGCCAACTGAAAAATCTCTCAATGACCAAAAAAAAGAGCAAAAAAGTAATTAAAGTAATATCATATTATAACCCAAAGTATAAAATAAATATCTGTGACTTCATATCGATTTAAATAAATTATTGAATAAGTTAATGTGGAAGAAGACTCTCCTCTGCAGGGTCTTGAAGTGGTGCAGGGTGTCACATGGTGAGGGGGCTAGAGCACACCTGCTCAGACCTCTCTTCCTCTTCTTATAAAACCACCAGTCCCATCATAGGGATTTCACCCTGATGAGTTTATCTTATCCTAATTATCTCTCTTTCATCTTCTCCATGAAGAACAATTCCAAATAATTTAGATGCTCAGCACTCAAAGGGGTGGAGCTTAACTCCTCCTTAAGGGTGGCTGCATATAATGACTTCCTTCTAAAGAATGCAGTATGAGAAGAAAGAGAAAGAGTAACTTTATGGTGGAGAAACCTGATGAATGTGACCTTATCCAGGTGATTAAGGTTAACATCATCACTGATAAGTCATGTTGATAGCATGTACTCTTAATGAGACATAATAAGAATGGTGTTTTACCTCTGTAGTCTTCCTCTCTAAAAAATATAACCCCAGTATAATTACAAGAAAAAAAATCAGACAAACCCCAATTGAGGCTTAACAATACTGGGACAACTGTTCGATCAGAGGCAAAAGAAAGAATCCCAACCCCTACCTCACACCATCTACAAAACTAACTCAAAATGGATCTAAGTTCCAAATGTAAGAGCTAAAACTATAGAACTCTTAGATCAAAACATGGATGTAAATCTTTGTGTCCTTGGATTAGGCAATGGACTCTTAGGTAAGACACCTAAAGCACAACTGACCAAAGAAAAATAGATAAATTTGACTCCATCACAATTAAAAGCTTTTGTGATTCAAAGGACACTCTGAAGAAAGTGAAAGGACAACCCATAGAATGGGAGAGAATATTTGTAAGGGCCTAGTACACAGAATATATTAAGAACTCTTACAATTAAACATCAAATAAAAGACAGATAATCCAATTTTTAAATGGGCAAAGGATGTGCATAGACATTTCTCCAAAGGAGATATGCAAGTGGCCAATACGCACATGAAAAAATGCTTGGCATTATTAGCCACAGGGAAATGTGAATCAAAGACCACAATAAAATACCATCTCCTATTCACTGGGATAGTTATCATTAAACAATAACAAATATATGAACAAAAAACAAATATTAGACTGTGGAGAAATGGAAACCCTTATATATTGCCATGGAAATATAAAATAATTAAAGCCGTTTTGATAAAGTTTGACAGTTCCTCAAAAAGTTAAACATGAAGTTACCATATGACCCAGCAATTCCATTCATACACATGTACCCAAGAGAACTGAAAACATATATTCAAACAAAAGCTTGTTCACCATGTTCATATTAGTATTATTCATACTAGCCAGAAAGAAAAACCAACTCAAATGTCTTCCAAGTGAAGAATAAATAAACCAAATGCTTTATATCCATACAATTGAATATTACTACTCTCCCATAACAATGGATGGAGACCTCACAGCCATTAGGATGGTTACCGTCATTTTTAAATATTTTTAAAGAAAATGACAAGTACTACATTGTGGAGAAATTAAAACCCTTATGCACTGTTGGTGGGAATGTAAAATAGTGCAGCTGCTATGAAATACAGTATGGTGGGATATTTGTACATTCATGTTCATACCAGCATTATTCACAATAGCCAAGAGGTGACCAACAGGTAAATGAGTAAACAAAATGTGGTGTGCGCCTATTATTAGCCTATTCTCACATTGCCATAAACAACTACCTGAGACTGGGTAATTTATGAAGAGATTTGACTGGCTCACAGTGCCTCAGGCTGTACAGGAAACATGGCTTGGGGAGGCCTCAGGAAACTTACAGTCATGGCAGAAGGCAAAGGAGGAGCCACCACATCCTGCACGGCTGGAGCAGGAGGAAGACAGTAAATGAAGGGGAAAATGCTACACACTTTTAAGCAACCAGATCTCATGAGAACTCAATCATGAGACAGCACCAGGAGGATGGTGCTAAACCGTTAGAAACCACCCCATGGGCCGGTGCAGTGGCTTATACCTGTAATCCCAGCACTTTGGGAGGCCGAGGCAAGCAGATCATGAGGTCAAGAGATCGAGATTATCCTGGCCAATGTGGTGAAACCCCATCTCTACTAAAATTACAAAAATCAGCTGGGCATGGTGGCACGTGCCTGTAGTCCCGGCTACTCAGGAAGCTGAGGCAGGAGAATCACTCAAACCCGGGACGCAGTGGTTGCAGTGAGCCAAATTTGTGCCACTGCATTCCAGCCTGGCAACAGAATGAGACTCCATCTCAAAAAAAAAAAAAAACTACCCCATGATCCAATCACCTCCCATCAGGCTCCACCTCCAACACTGGGAATTACAATTCCACATGAGATCTGGATGGGGACACAGAGCCAAACCAAACCATATTAACATATGATGGAATATTATTCAGCCTTAAAAATGAAGGAAATTCTGAGACATGCTACATGAAGGAACCCTGAGGACAATATGCTAAACGAAATAAACCAGTCACAAAAACACAGCGACTATATGATTCCACTTAAATGAGGTATCTAAAATAGTCAAATTCCTAGAAACAGAAAGTTGAATTGTTGCCAGGGGCTGGAGGGAGGAGAAATGGGGAATTACTTAATAGGTATAGAGTTTCAGTTTTGCAAGATAAAAATGTTCTGGAAACTGGCTGTATAACAATGTGAATGCACTTAACACTACTAAACTGTATACTTTAAAATGGTTAAGACAATACATTTTATGTTACATGTATTTTACCATAAAATTTTTTTGAGATGGAGTCTTGCTCTGTTGCCCAGGCAGGAGTGCAGTGATGTGACCTCTGCTCAGTGCAACCTCCACCTCCTGAGTTCAAGCAATTTTCTTGCCTCAGCCTCCCTGGTACCTGGGATTACAGGCATGCGCCATCACACTGGCTAATTTTGGTATTTTTTAGTAGAGACAGGGCTTCACCATGTTGGCCAAGGTAATTTCAAACTCCTGACCTCAGGTGATTTCCCTGCCCCGGTCTCCCAAAGTACTGGGATTACAAGCATGAGCCACTTGCACCCAGCCTAAATTTTTTTCTTTTTTTGAGACAGAGTCTCACTCTGTCACCAGGCTGGAATGTAGTAGCGCAATCTCGGCTCACTGCAACCTCTGCATCCCAGGTTTAAGTGAGTCTCCTGCCTCAGCCTCCCCAGTAACTGGGACTGCAGGCATGAGCCACCACACCTAGCTAATTTTTGTATTTTTAGTAGAGATGGGGTTTCGCCATGTTAGCCAGGATGGTCTCAATCTGTTGACCTCCTGATCCGCCCACCTCGGCCTCCCAAAGTTCTGGGATTACAGGTGTGAGCAATATTTAAAAAAAAAAAAAAACAGAATGAAGTAGAGATACATGCAGCATATCAACCAGATGAAGACAGCCG